CTGGTCAAATGGGTTCTCTACACTGACCTGTCTCCTGAGTAGAAGCCTGACTCCACCTGGTCAAACAGGTTCTCTACACTGACCTGTCTCCTGAGTAGATTCCTGACTCCACCTGGTCAAACGTGTTCTCTACACTGACCTGTCTCCTGAGTAGACGCCTGACTCCACCTGGTCAAACGGGTTCTCTACACTGACCTGTCTCCTGAGTAGATTCCTGACTCCACCTGGTCAAATGGGTTCTCTACACTGACCTGTCTCCTGAGTAGATTCCTGACTCCACCTGGTCAAACGGGTTCTCTACACTGACCTGTCTCCTGAGTAGATTCCTGACTCCACCTGGTCAAACGTGTTCTCTACACTGACCTGTCTCCTGAGTAGAAGCCTGACTCCACCTGGTCAAACGGGTTCTCTACACTGACCTGTCTCCTGAGTAGACGCCTGACTCCACCTGGTCAAACGTGTTCTCTACACTGACCTGTCTCCTGAGTAGATTCCTGACTCCACCTGGTCAAATGGGTTCTCTACACTGACCTGTCTCCTGAGTAGATTCCTGACTCCACCTGGTCAAATCGGTTCTCTACACTGACCTGTCTCCTAAGTAGATTCCTGACTCCACCTGGTCAAACGGGTTCTCTAAACACACTGACCTGTCTCCTGAGTAGATTCCTGACTCCACCTGGTCAAACGGGTTCTCTACACTGACCTGTCTCCTGAGTAGATTCCTGACTCCACGTTGTCAAACGTGTTCTCTACACTGACCTGTCTCCTGAGTAGATTCCTGACTCCACCTGGTCAAACGGGTTCTCTAAACACACTGACCTGTCTCCTGAGTAGACGCCTGACTCCACCTGGTCAAATGTGTTCTCTACACTGACCTGTCTCCTAAGTAGATTCCTGACTCCACCTGGTCAAACGGGTTCTCTACACTGACCTGTCTCCTAAGTAGAAGCCTGACATACATTTTAAAGTGAAAAATCTGAGTTTCAGCATCACCCTGTTACTGTGGAATTGCCCTGTACCAATCCACGCCACCAGTCAGTCAGCATGGCTCAGTATTGAACAGCCTTCTGGCAGTTCATACCCAAACCACTTCGTGGAGAGCTATCCTCCTATAGGTTCACTTCATCCCTTACCTACACTACTCATATTGTTTAGCAATGACTATCACATACATTCAGTATAGAACCATCTTTCTAACCAATAGACCAGCAGCTGGTATTCATCCTCTCTAGGTGACAAATGTCCTATGACACAATGTCTTCATACAGCGTCAAAGACATTAGAGGAACTCTCAGTACCACTAATGATTAAGTTATGAGGGTGATTGGTGGATGTCATGGTTACCTGCAGGAAGTCCCCAGCACTGGAGGCTGGTGGCACCTTAATTGGGGAGAACGGGCTTGTGGTAATGACTGGAGCGGAACTAGTGAAATGTAACAAATACATCAAACACATGGTTTCCAGGTGTTTGATGCCATTCCATTTGCTCCGTTCCGGACATTATTATGAGCCGTTCTCCCCTCAGCAGCCTCCTGTGGTCCCCAGAGTGCTGTGCATAGAGGAGAGCCAAGGTAACCGAGTTGGAACAGAATGGACCCCTGGATCTCCTGTCTCTGTCAGCTGAGCAGCTGAGCCCGGTACAGTTGAAACCGGGAATTATCCATGAAGAGCACACTTCTCCAATGTGCCACAGGCTATCGAAGGTGAGTATTTGCCCACCGACGTCAGTTACGACGCCAAACTGCATTCAGGTCAAGACCCTGGTGAGGATGACGAGCATGCAGATGAGCTTCCCTGAGACGGTTTCTGACAGTTTGTGCAGAAATGCTTCGGTTGTGCAAACACACAGATTCATCAGCTGTCCGGGTGACAGCCCGCTTGGAGTTTGCCAAAAGGCACCTAAAGAGAAACAAGATTCTCTGGTCTGATGAAACCAAGATAAAACTCTTTGGCCTGAATGCCAAGCATCACATCTGGAGGAAACCTGGCACCATCCCTACGGTGAAGCATGGTGGTGGCAGCATCATGCTGTGGGGATGTTTTTCAGTGGCAGGGACTGGGAGACTAGTCAGGATTGAAGGAAAGATGAACAGAGCAAAGTACAGAGAGATCCTTGATGAAAACCTGCTACAGAGAGCTCAGGACATCAGACTAGGGCGAAGGTTCAATTTCCAACAGGACAACGACCTTAAGCACGCATCCAAGACAACGTAGGAGTGGCTTCGGGACAAGTCTCTGAATGTCCTTGAGTGGCCCAGCCAGAGCCCGGACATGAACCTGATCGAACATCTCTGGAGAGACCTGAAAATAGCTGTACAGCGACGCTCCCCATCCAACCTGACAGAGCTTGAGAGGATCTGCAGAAAATAATGGGAAAAACTCCCCAAATACAGGTGTGCCAAGCTTGTAGCGTCATACCCAAGAAGACTCGAGGCTGTAATCGATGACAAAGGTGCTTCAACAAGTTGACCGATTGGCTCGATGTAGCAAAATTTGAAATGTTTTTTTATTTTTACATTGGATAAAATTAGAAACTCAGAGCTAGAAAATTGTACATCATACACTACAGTTGAAGAACAATGGGAAAGTAATTCTGCTTTGAAAGTTGATAAACTTGTAACCTCACTTTTGAGAAAATGGCCCTTGAATGTTTTGGTACCTACTGGAGAGCTCGTCTTTGTCTACACCCATTCAGCATTGTTCACACCCTTTTAAGCTTTAGCCCCACCCATCTGTTTAAGTATTCTCATGTGAGGCTAAGTACTAAACAAACAAAGATTTCAAGACTAAAGGCTGGCTTATACTACAGGTGTGTTCGTAAATTTAATCTGGAGTTCTGGTGTGCCAGAGTGTGCTCTCGGTGTTCGTAAACTCAGAGTATTGTCAGATTGGCCGTTCGTAAAATCAGAGCGTTTCGCTCTTGGAGCATTTAGAGCGCACACTGGATGCTCTGGCTGAGGAGTAGGGTTGATCCGAGCGTTCTGACCTAACAACAGCAGTCAAGCACCCAAGCTAACTGGCTAACATTGGCTAGCTTGCTTGCTACTTCCCAACACAAATGAGAGAACAGCTCAGTTTGACCATTTTACTCGCCCTAGCAGTGCTGGTTAGGCTGTTTTTATGTTATCCAGAGTGTTGGTGACAACTGTGCTGCTGGCAACAATTTAATGATGCTTTTTTGCCAACGTTTACTGACACTGGCCGTATTCAACAGGTGTTGAGCGTTCATAAATTCGTCAGTTATTCTGCGCTCTGGCACACTCAGACGAGAGTGCTCTGAAATTGGAGTAGATAGCCAGAGCTAATTTACCAGCTACGTCTATCAACAGTTGTCACAGTGGCATCATAAACATTCTATTGAAATAGTTACTTGCATAGTGGAGTCTATTGTTGTAGCTAGCTAGCTAAACAATGAACCATAATCCCAACTCATAACGTTACAACCCTGCATGAATCTGCAGGTAGCTAACCAACCAGGTTCAATGTTAGCTAGCTAACATTAGGCTATAACTAGCAATGTAAATGGCTCTGAGATACGAATATTACTACACAGATCATACACATAACGTTAGCTAGCTAGCCAGCCAGCTATCGTTAGCTAGCTAGCTAACAGTACACTTTAACTTGAAATGAAAACGACTTTTTGACAAAATTAGAAACTTGTCATATCTTATAATGTAGCTAGACTCTCTTACCCGTATACATGGATGGACGCTTCTCCCTCTCTGTCACGGATGCCATGGTTGCCCTTAGTTTGAAGATGTAATCCGGAGACAGGTGTTTTATACAAAAGCCTTCGTCTGTTCTCTTTTCGACTCCGTCTGCATATTTGCAATCAAACGGCAGAATTTTCTCCATCTCCTTAACTATCATACTCTAATTCCACTGATTTCAAAACTCGGTCCTCCAGAAAGTGGAGAGCAACACTTACGCAGTTTTACTATGTGATATCTTCCAAAAAAGCAGAGTTAGAAAGGATTAGCTACACATATTGACCAGCTCATATTGTAGACAGAAGCATGCTACATGGCAGACCAATCTGAACTCATCTCTTGGCATGACCAGCCCACTCATTATTTCAGCCAATCATGGCTAGCGGGAAGGTTGCTTTTCTCTTTCCATGGCTAAACCAACTAGGCTCATAATTTAACAATCGAATTCATATTTACAGTTGGAATATAAGTTTGTTATTAAGGCACATGAAAGTTCACATGTTCCAGAAGACATTTCTGCCAAACAACGCATTTAGATTTTAAAAAAAAGGTTACGTTCAAATGGCGCTCCTGTGAAGTAGTGATGCGCGACATACCCCTAGTTTCCTGAAACGAGTCACAGTACTGAGTAAAGGGTCTGAATAATTATGTAAATGTGATATTTCATATTATTGTTTTTTTACATTTGCAAACATTTCTAAAAATCTGTTTTTGCTTTGTCATTATGGGGTATTGTGTGTATATTGATGAGGGGAAAAACAATATAATCCATTTTAGAGTTAGGCTGTAATGTAACAAAATGGGGAAAAAGTCAAGGGGTCTGAATACTTTCCAAATGCACTGTATATGACATATCATACGGACATAATTATCACCATAGGGAAATGTTCCCCTTTATAAGGACCTTACCCAGTCATATAATTATACCAACCCCCCCACCCCCACATGGAGACCCACAGCTGGTCCGTTCTCAGTGATGTCTCTAAACCAAACTGTATACGGTTTTGTGACGTACAGTACTGTCAAAAGTTTTGTATTTATCTGATATTCTGATCAGGAATGAAGGCCAAAGCTTAGAATAACAAAAAGTTATATTAAGCTCAAGTTTAAGCACAATAATGGTCTACTGTAAAAGGTAAATGTTACATGGTAAAAAGCTTTGACATAAAATCAAAAATCTAGTAGAAATATTGATTTATCCCTTTTAATATTCTATGGACCAATCTAAGACATCTTCTGAGGAAGCATAAAACAATACAGAAACATGATAAAGCCAGGCTGATACCATCTTGCCGTGAAGCAAGTTTTTTTAATTGACGTTATAAGGTGGTGAATACATGAGTGACAGGGTGAGAGAATCAATCAGACACAAGGTCATAGGTTAAAATCTAATCATCATTCTGTTGCTGGTATTCCTTCTGGTAGGTGTAGGTGTAGTAGACGGTGCCTTTCTTCAGGTGGCAGGTCTCGATGTGTGTTCCTGGGTAGATGGTGGTGGTGCAGGTTCCCAGGCGGTCATCTGGTCCGGCGTCATCATCCCACACCTAATAATATTAAAAAATAACAAAAACAACATTAAAATAAAAAGTAAATTAAAATATTAATAATAACAATAACAATAAAAAATTATAATAACAATAATAACAAAAAATAAATAATCATAATCATAATAATCCTCCTCTTCCTCCTCCTCTTCCTCCTCTTCCTCCTCCTCTTCTTCTTCTTCCTCTTCTTCTTCTTCTCCTCCTCCCTCTCCTCCTCCTCCTCATCCTCCTCCTCTTCCTCATCATCATCATCATCATAATTGATTGGATTTACAAACTGCTTTTCCATTGCTCAAAGCACTTTACATAGTAAGGGAGGAAACTCACCTCCAGCTTCAGGACAGACTTGTCGATGACGTCTAGGAAGTTGAACTCGCCGGGCCAGGTGGGGTTGGCCTGGTTCTTCAGAATGCTGGTCATGCCACCGAAGGATGGGCCGCACCACACCTAAGGAAGTTAATGTTGTCAGTAGACTTTTATTACTAAACATGTTTTATTATGATTGTGCTTTAATACTCAAGGATTTTTTATGTATGTATAGTTGGCTCACTTGGCTGAGGAACCTCTATACATTGGGGAAAAAAAGTATTTAGTCAGCCACCAATTGTGCAAGTTCTCCCACTTAAAAAGATGAGAGAGGCCTGTAATTTTCATCAACTATGACAGACAAATTGAGAAAAAAAAATCCAGAAAATCACATTGTAGGATTTTTAATGAATTTATTTGCAAATTATGGTGGAAAATAAGTATTTGGTCACCTACAAACAAGCAAGATTTCTGGCTCTCACAGACCTGTAACTTATTCTTTAAGAGGCTCCTCTGTCCTCCACTCGTTACCTGTATTAATGGCACCTGTTTGAACTTGTTATCAGTATAAAAGACACCTGTCCACAACCTCAAACAGTCACACTCCAAACTCCACTATGGCCAAGACCAAAGAGCTGTCAAAGGACACCAGAAACAAAATTGTAGACCTGCACCAGGCTGGGAAGACTGAATCTGCAATAGGTAAGCAGCTTGGTTTGAAGAAATCAACTGTGGGAGCAATTATTAGGAAATGGAAGACATACAAGACCACTGATAATCTCCCTCGATCTGGGGCTCCACGCAAGATCTCACCCCGTGGGGTCAAAATGATCAAAAGAACGGTGAGCAAAAATCCCAGAACCACACGGGGGGACCTAGTGAATGACCTGCAGAGAGCTGGGACCAAAGTAACAAAGCCTACCATCAGTAACACACTACGCCGCCAGGGACACAAATCCTGCAGTGCCAGACGTGTCCCCCTGCTTAAGCCAGTACATGTCCAGGCCCGTCTGAAGTTTGCTAGAGTGCATTTGGATGATCCAGAAGAGGATTGGGAGAATGTCACATGGTCAGATAAAACCAAAATAGAACTTTTTGGTAAAAACTCAACTCGTCGTGTTTGGAGGACAAAGAATGCTGAGTTGCATCCAAAGAACACCATACCTACTGTGAAGCATGGGGGTGGAAACATCATGCTTTGGGGCTGTTTTTCTGCAAAGGGACCAGGACGACTGATCCGTGTAAAGGAAAGAATGAATGGGGCCATGTATCGTGAGATTTTGAGTGAAAACCTCCTTCCATCAGCAAGGGCATTGAAGATGAAACGTGGCTGGGTCTTTCAGCATGACAATGATCCCAAACAAACCGCCCGGGCAACGAAGGAGTGGCTTCGTAAGAAGCATTTCAAGGTCCTGGAGTGGCCTAGCCAGTCTCCAGATCTCAACCCCATAGAAAATCTTTGGAGGGAGTTGAAAGTCTGTGTTGCCCAGCGACAGCCCCAAAACATCACTGCTCTAGAGGAGATCTGCATGGAGGAATGGGCCAAAATACCAGCAACCTGTGTCATTGCCAACAAAGGGTATATAACAAAGTATTGAGAAACTATTGTTATTGACCAAATACTTATTTTCCACCATAATTTGCAAATAAATTCATTACAAATCCTACAATGTGATTTTCTGGATTTTTTTTTCTCATTTTGTCTGTCATAGTTACAGGCCTCTCTCATCTTTTTAAGTGGGAGAACTTGCACAATTGGTGGCTGACTAAATACTTTTTTTCCCCACTGTATGTATTTTAAAATTCATTCATTAATTTGTTTGTTTGTTTGTTCATTTATTTGTTCATTCGTTTGTTTGTTTGTTTGTTCACCTAACAAGTAACAAGCCAATCACTGACATTTTCATGGTCACACGTCACTGTAGCCTACTTGATATCCAAACAAATGACTGCTGACTGTCTACTGTTTAGTGGTTGATTATTGCTGTGTCTCTGTCCTTTTGTGTTATGATGCCTGTCCTGTCTGTAACATTACTGTACTTCTTCTGTTTTACCACCCCACCTGCCAGTCCCTCATTGTAAATATCAACGTTTCATTAACTGACTGTTCTGGTTAAATAAAGGTTAAATAAATGAATAAATTCACCTTGACGTAGGGGTCTGGTTGGGAGATGATGTCTCCGTTCAGGTTGGAGGCACTAATGCCCCACACCCTGACGCGGTCGTCATACGGGCCACATTGTACAAGAGCCAGGGTGCATAGCACCAGAAGTCCCAGGGACAGAGAGAGAGAGGCCATGGTACACTGTCTGAGAGAGAGGAGAAGAGAGGAGAGATTGGAGATATGAGAGTAGAGGAGAGGAGAGGAGGTAACGCATACATGTATAGGCGGTTGCCTCTTCCGTCTCTCTATCATTGCTCTATCTGCTTTCTATTCATCTCGCTTCTCTTTCTCTTCTTAGGGAATATAAACATGTCATACCCTTGTCCATAACTAAAACTCAACTTCCAAACTGTATTCAAAGTTAATGATCAGGATATATTATCAGTATTAGCAGATCATTCAGTGGAGGAAGAGGGGGGACAGACAGACAGCGACAGAGCGAGAAGAGAGAGATAGCTAGCTATAATATCAGAATAGAGCTCTCTCTTCTATCTCTCTCTCCTCTCTAGTCTCTCTCTCTCTCTCTCTCTCTCTTCGCTCTCTCCTATCTCTCTCTCGCTCTCGCGTCCCTCCAATCATCTCCCCCCACCACACCATCCTGAATCAGCAGAAATACAGGCTCTTATTCAATTGCAGATAGTGGCTCTTCAGAAGTGTGTTTGATTTAACACACCAGCGTAATCCTGGATGGATGGGAGATCACACTTGAAATACCAACTGTCAGTCCCATGGTGTGACAACAATTCAGTTTCTGACAGCAAACACCGGGCTGAGAAAGTCATCCAGTGTAATCAACCAAACTGAAAGTCAATTTTATATCTGCTGCTGTGCAAATCAAAGACACTTCTAAAAGCGCTATCCTGAAAGCCACTCACTATCTGTAATCGACTGAATCCCAGCCACACACAGAGAGAAAGAGAAAGAGAGAGAGAGAGAGAGAGAGAGAGAGAGAGAGAGAGAGAGATAGAGAGAGAGAGAGAGGCGAGAGGAGAGATAGAGAGAGAGAGAAGAGAGAGAGAGACACCCCACACAGCCCCAGGACAACAACAACAACAACAACAACAACAACAACACAATTAGACCCAACCAAATCATGAGAAAACAAAAAGAGAATTACTTGACACATTGGAAAGAACAAACAAAAAAACAGAGCATGCTATTTGGCCCTAAACAGAGAGTACACAGTGGCAGAATACCTGACCACTGTGACTGACCCAAACTTAAGGAAAGCTTTGACTATGTACAGACTCAGTGAGCATAGCCTTGCTATTGAGAAAGGCCGCCGTAGGCAGACCTGGCTCTCAAGAGAAGACAGGCTATGTGCACACTGCCCGCAAAATGAGGTGGAAACTGAGCTGCACTTCCTAACCTCCTGCCAAATGTATGACCATATTAGAGACACATATTTCCCTCAGATTACAGCGATCCACAAACAATTCGAAAACAAACCCAATTTTGATGAACTCCCTTATCTACTGGGTGAAAAACCACAGTGTGCCATCACAGCTGCAAGATTTGTGACCTGTTGCCACAAGAAAAGGGCAACCAGTGAAGAACAAACACCATTGTAAATACAACCCATATTTATGTTTATTTATTTTCCCATTTGTACTTTAACTATTTGCACATTGTTACAACACTGTATATATACATAATATGACATTTGAAATGTCTTTATTCTTTTGAAACTTCTGAGTGTAATGTTTACTGTTAATATTTATTGTTTATTTCACTTTTGTTTACTATCTACTACACTTGCTTTGGCAATGTTAACATACGTTTCCCATGCCAATAAAGCCCTTAAATTGAAATTGAATTGAATTGAGAGAGAGAGAGAGAGAGAGAGAGAGAGAGAGAGAGAGAGAGAGAGAGAGAGAGAGAGAGAGAGAGAGAGAGACAGAGAGAGAGAGAGAGAGAGAGCACCAGATCAACAGATCATGTCTTACCTGGATATTCTTGAGATGGACGTGTTTCTTTCTCTAGTCACCCAACTGCTGATGGTCCTTACTGTGCCATCTTGCTGTTTATAAAGATTTCATACACACACACACACTCACACACACAGTCACTTGCACGCACATACACACACCCACAGGCAATGATGACCCACAGGTGGTGTGTAGGACTACTTAGCTACTACTCAACCAATGAGAACACACCCTATATTACCAGGAGACATATGGAAAGCCTATAAAGTGTAACAGCAAATTCTGATACTATCTGAAATGCTGATTGAACAAATTCTATTCCAGATAATGTCAAAAGGCCAGCCCAGTGAATAAACAGTTAGGTAAGGGAGAGGGTGGAGATGGTAAATAGTACTGCATAGAGTTTAGAATAATTCATCAGTAATACCATTGATCACCATCTATAATGCGTTTAGAAAGTATTCAGACCCCTTGATCTTTTCTACATTTTGTTACTTTACAGCCTTATTCTTAAATGGATTAAATAAATAAAAATCCTCATCAATCTACACACATTATCCTATAATGACAAAGTGATAATAATCCTCATCAATCTACACACATTATCCTATAATGACAAATGTATAAAAATAAAATAAAAAAATACCTTATCTACATAAGTATACAGACCCTTTGCTATGACACTCGAAATTGAGCTCAGGTGCATTCTGTTCCATTGCAGACTAGGGCGAAGGTTCAATTTCCAACAGGACAACGACCTTAAGCAAACAGCAAAGACAACGCAGGAGTGGCTTCGGGACAAGTCTCTAAATGTCCTTGAGTGGCCCAGCCAGAGCCCGGACTTGAACCTGATCGAACATCTCTGGAGAGACCTGAAAATAGCTGTACAGCGACGCTCCCCATCCAACCTGACAGAAAAGAATGGGAGAAACTCCCCAAATACAGGTGTGCCAAGCTTGTAGCGTCATACCCAAGAAGACTCGAGGCTGTAATCGATGCCAAAGGTGCTTCAACAAAGTTGACCGATTGGCTCGATTCGGTCTTATGTAGCAAAATTTGAAATGTTTTTTTTTTTTTTTTTTTTACATTGGATAAAATTAGAGACTCAGAACTAGAAAGAGAATGGAATATCATACACTACAGTTGAGGAACAATGGGAAAATAATTCTGCTTTGAAAGTTGATAAACTTGTAACCTCACTTTTGAGGAAAATGGCCCTTGAATGTTTTGGTACCTACTGGAGAGCTCGTCTTTGTCTACACCCATTCAGCATTGTTCACACCCTTTTAAGCTTTAGCCCCACCCATCTCTTTAAGTATTCACATGTGAGGCTAAGTAATAAAACAACCAAAGATTTCAAGACTAAAGGTTGGCTTATACTACGGGTGTGTTTGTAAATTTAATCTGGAGTGCCAGAGTATGCTCTCGGTGTTCGTAAACTCAGAGCGTTGTCAGATTGGCCGTTCGTAAATTCAGAGCGTTTCACTCTCGGAGCATTCAGAGCGCACACTGGATGCTCTGGCTGAGGAGTAGGGTTGATCCGAGCGTTCTGACCTAACAACAGCAGTCAAGCACCCAAGCTAACTGGCAAACGTTGGCTAGCTTGCTTGCTACTTCCCGACACAAATGAGAGAACAGCTCACTCTGACCATTTTACTCACCCTAGCAGAGCTGGTTAGGCTGTTTTTATGTTATCCAGAGTGTTGGTGACTGCAACTGAGCTGCTGGCAACAAATTAATGACGCTTTTTTGCCAACGTTTACTGACACCGGCCATATTTGAGCTTCTACTTCTAAAAATCCACCTTTCCAGAAATAAGTCTCTCACTGATGCTGCTTGCTACAGACCCCCCTCAGCCCCCAGCTGTGCCCTGGACACCATATATGAATTGATTGCCCCCCATTTATCCTCAGAGTTCGTACTGCTTGGTGACCTAAATTGGGATATGCTTAATACCCCGGCCATCCTACAATCCAAACTAGATGCCCTCAATCTCACGCAAATTATCAACGAACCTACCAGGTACAACCCTAAATCCGTAACCATGGGTACCCTCATAGATATCATCCTGACTAACTTACCCTCTAAATACACCTCCACTGTCTTAAACCAGGATCTCAGCGATCACTGCCTTATTGCCTGCGTCCGTAATGGGTCCGCGGTCAAACGACCACCCCTCATCACTGTCAAACGCTCCCTAAAACACTTTAGTGAACAGGCCTTCCTAATTGACCTGGCCCAGGTATCCTGGATGGATATAGATCTCATTCCGTCAGTAGAGGATGCCTGGTTGTTCTTTAAAAGTAATTTCCTCTCAATCTTAAATAAACATGCCCCATTCAAAAAATACAGAACTAAGAACAGATATAGCCCCTGGTTCTCCTCAGACTTGACTGCCCTTGACCAGCACAAAAACATCCTGTGTCGTACTGCATTAGCATCAAATAGCCCCCGCGATATGCAACTTTTCAGGGAAGTTAGGAACCAATGTACACAAGCAGTCAGGAAAGCAAAGGCTAACTTTTTCAAACAGAAATTTGCATCCTGTAGCACTAACTCCAAAAAGTCTTGGGACACTGTAAAGTCCATGGAGAATAAGAGCACTTCCTCCCAGCTGCCCACTGCACTGAGGCTAGGAAACACTATCACCACCGATAAATCTACAATAATCGAGAATTTCAACAAGCATTTTGCTACGGCTGGCCATGCTTTCCACCTGGCTACCACTACCCCGGCCACCAACTCTGCACCCTCCGCTGCAACTTGCCCATGCCCCCCCCGCTTCTCCTTCACACAAATTCAGACAGCTGATGTTCTGAAAGAGCTGCAAAATCTGGACTTCTACAAATCAGCTAGCCTAGACAATCTGGACCCTTTCTTTCTAAAACTAGCCGCCGAAATTGTCGCAACCCCTATTACGAGTCTGTTCAACCTCTCTTTCGTAACGTCTGAGATCCCCAGAGATTGGAAAACTGCCGCGGTCATCCCCCTCTTCAAAGGGGGTGACACTCTAGATCCAAACTGTTACAGACCTATATCCATCCTGCCCTGCCTTTCGAAAGTATTTGAAAGCCAAGTTAACAAACAGATCACCGACCATTTCGAATCCCACCGTACCTTCTCCGCTATGCAATCCAGTTTCCGAGCTGGTCATGGGTGCACTTCAGCCACGCTCAAGGTCCTAAACAATATTATAACCGCGATCGATAATAGACAGTACTGTGCAGACATCTTCATCGACCTGGCCAAGGCTTTCGACTCTGTCAACCACCGCATTCTTATTGGCAGACTAAATAGCCTTGGTTTCTCAAATGACTGCCTCGCCTGGTTCACCAACTACTTCTCAGATAGAGTTCAGTGTGTCAAATCGGAGGGCCTGTTGTCTGGACCTATGGCAGTCTCTATGGGGGTGCCACAGGGTTCAATTCTTGGGCCGACTCTTTCTCCGTGTATATCAATGATGTCGCTCTTGCTGCTGGTGACTCTCAGATCCACCTCTACGCAGACGACACCATTTTGTATACATCTGGCCCTTCATTGGACACTGTGTTAACAAACCTCCAACAAGCGAGCTTCAATGCCATACAACACTCCTTCAGTAGCCTCCAACAACTCTTAAACACTAGTAAAACGAAATGCATGCTCTTCAATCGAACGCTGCTGGCACCCGCCCACCCGACTAGAATCACCACTCTCGACGGGTCTGACCTAGAGTATGTGGACAACTACAAATACCTAGGTGTCTGGTTAGACTGTAAACTCTCCTTCCAGACTCACATTAAGAATCTCCAATCCAAAGTTAAATCTAGAATCGGCTTCCTATTTCTCAACAAAGCCTCCTTCACTCATGCTGCCAAACATGCCCTCGTAAAACTGACTATCCTACCGATCCTTGACTTCGGCGATGTCATTTACAAAATAGCCTCCAACACTCTACTCAGCAAATTGGATGTAGTCTATCACAGTGCCATCCGTTTTGTCTCCAAAGCCCCATACACTACCCACCACTGTGACCTGTACGCTCTTGTTGGCTGGTCCTCACTACATGTTCGTCGTCAAACCCACTGGCTCCAGGCCATCTATAAATCACTGCTAGGCAAATCCCCCCGCCTTATCTTAGCTCATTTGTCACCATAGCAGCACCCACCCGTAGTCTGCGCTCCAGCAGGTATATCTCACTGCTCATTCCCAAAGCCAACACCTCCTTTGGCCGCCATTCCTTCCAGTTCTCTGCTGCCAATGACTGGAACGAATTGCAAAAATCTCTGAAGCTGGAGACTATTATCTCCCTCACTAACTTTAAGCATCAGTTGTCAGAGCACCTTACCGATCACTGCACCTGTACACAGCCCATCTGAAATTAGCCCACCCAACTACCTCATCCCTATGTTGTTATTTATTTTGCTCTTTTGCACCCCAGTATCTCTATTTGCACATAATCTCTTGCACATCTAGCATTCCAGTGTTAATACTAATTGTAATTATTTTGCACTATAGCCTATTTATTGCCTTACCTCCATAACTTGCTACATTTGCACACACTGTATATATATTTTCTGTTGTATTTTTTGACTTTATGTTTTTTTACCCCATATGTAACTCTGTGTTGTTGTTTTTATCACACTACTATGCTTTATCTTGGCCAGGTCGCAGTTGTAAATGAGAACTTGTTCTCAACTGGCTTACCTGGTTAAATAAAGGTGAAATAAAATAAATAAATAAATATTCAACAGGTGTTGAGCTTTCGTAAATGTGTCAGTTATTCTGCGCTCGGAGTAGATAGCCAGAGCTAATTTACCTGCTACGCCTATCAACAGTTGTCACAGTGGCATCATAAACATTCTATTGAAATAGTTACTTGCATAGTGGAGTCTTTTGTTCAGACATGTAGCTAGCTAGCTAAACAATGAACCATAATCCCAACTCAACTCGCATGAATCTGCAGGTAGCTAACCAACCAGGTTCAATGTTAGCTAGCTAACATTAGGCTATAACTAGCAATGCAAATGGTCTGAGATACGAATATTACTACACAGATCATACACGTAATGTTAGCTAGCTAGCCAGCCAGTTATCATTAGCTAGCTAGCTAACAGTACACTTTAACTTGAAATGAAAACGACTTTTTGACAAAATTAGAAATGTGTCATATCTGAAAATGTATCTAGACTCTCTTACCCGTATACATGGATGGACGCTTCTCCCTCTCTGTCACGGATGCCATGGTTGCCCTTAGTTTGAAGATGTAATC